ACCTTACCTGTCCCTTCTACTTAAGGTACTTCTTCTTGTCGCTTTCCTCGATGACGCACCCCCCTGTCACCAGTACCAATGGGTTTGGATCCAGTGGGAGCTTGGCTGTTCGAGTTTCTTCATTGCTGGCATTCCTTCATTAGCAATCAATGGGAACTTTAGGTTCTCTCAGAAGGATTCATTGTCCAGTTTCTTTCCCCACCTCCCATCTCTCCTTAACCCATTTCCTTCCATTATTGTCGACATCCTGTGACCAGCCAGCATCTGTCAGAAGCGGTTTGGGAATTGCTCTTCCTGCAGACTATCGAACCTGTTCCCCAACCTTCCTGGGGTTTTTATTCCTGCCTTTTTGCTTCCCTAAGAAAACCAGGGATTGGCGACCAGTAATCGATTCATCTCTCCTCAACTGCTTTGTTTTACTACTCCAGTTCACCATGGAGTCTTTTCTCACCCTGAGATGAGTGTTTTCTTTGGGTTGTGGATGACCAAAAATGGATGTCTCAAACCTGCATATACCAATATCACCCCAGTATCGTCCTTATCCTTGGTTTGTCAATCTTGGGATGGTTTATCAATTTTGGGCCATCCCCTATGGATTTGCCTTGACACCTTATGTATTTTGCCAAGTGTTCCGAGCTTTTGCTCGACATCACCATGCTCTGGGGCTGCAATTTCATTATTACATGGATGACTGGTTTCTTCTAGCTCATTGTGAACAGGAATTAGCCAATTATACTCAGCAGTTCCTTTCTGTGGTGGCTCGGTGGGCTGATTGATCAAACTGGAGAAGTCCTTCCTCAGATCCACTCAATATCTTGTCCATTTTGGGGGTCTTTTCAACACTCATATCAGTCAGGCCCAGCCTTCTCCTTTAGGACTTTATTCAATGGAACTATTGGTTTGCCACACCTTCTCGACTCAGTCAATTACTACTTGAGCGGTTATATTGCTTTTGGGGATGTGGTCATCAATGAAATCACTGATCCACCTTGGTCATGCCCATATGAGATCCCTTTAGTGGGTGTTTAATGATCAATAGAACCTTCCTCGGGATCCTCTTTCCACCCCATTACCCTTCCTTTTTCACTGTGAGATGATCTGCTTTGGTGATTCAAAAAGCCCATAAATCGGTGGGCATGCTGCTTCCTTCCCCATGTCTGGATCTACGGCATGGGTCAAGCAACAGGAGGCTTTGGGCCATTAGTCTGAAGATGAAAGCACTTTGCATATCAATGTTCTCAAACTTCTAGCCCTACTTCAGGCATTGCATCACTTCCTTCTTCTCACCCAATATTATCTGGTGATGATTCATTTAGACAATTCTACAGTGGTGGCATATATTAACCACCAATGGGGCACCTGGACCAGAGATCTCTGTTTTTGGATGTTGGATCTCTTATACTGGGCCCATGCAAATCACATTTATCATATTGCATGTCATATGCCACATGCTTTCAGTCTGGTCACAGATTGTCTTTCATGCCCTTACCAGTCATATCCCACAGAGTGGTTATAAGATCCCCTCATTTTCAGGGATCTTTGCCATCAGTGGGGTTCTCCTCAAGTGAATGCCTTTGCTATGGGCCTCAACAACAAGTTACCTCTCTTTTGTTTGCCTATACCTCATCTGCAGGCTCTGGCAGTTGATGCCTTCAGCCAGATTGGTCACACAAGTATCTTTATGTGTATCCACCCATCCGATTACTTCATTGCGTGATTTCTCTCATCCACTTCACTCCTTGTTGGGTCCTCCTAATTGCTCCTTATTGACCAGCTCAGCCTTGGTTTCAATGTTACAGCAATTGCTCCACTCCCCTCCTGTCCCTTTTCCACTTTCTTCCTACCTTCTTCATCATCTTCGGTGACATGTCCTACATCTCATTCTTCACATCCTGCATCTTCATGCCTGGCTTTTGTCCAGTCCTTGGTGAGAAGATCTAGTTTCACACATTGAATCAGATTCTTGTTAGCTGGTTCCATCCATCCATCTTCCATAGAGGTGTACCAATGCAAGCGAAAGGTATTCTGTCATTGGTCTACAAATAGGGGATTTCCCACTGACTAGCCTACTGTGGCTTGTGTGGCAGAATTTCTCACCTTGGCTCTTTGACCATGGGTCTTCTGTCTCCTCGCTTTCGGAACTTTGGGTGGCCTTATCCCATACCTTTCTTTTTTTCCAAATACCATAGAATTTTCACTTCCCCTGACCCTACAATGCTCATGCATTCCTTCCAGATACATCACCCTCCCACATGACCTACCCTTCTGGATTGGAATGTTAATGTGGTCCTCCATTCCCATACTTTACCTCTGTTTGAACCTATTTCTTCGTGATCCATGTTTCATCTTTCCCTTAAAACATATTTCCTTCTTCACTTAGCCTGTGGGCATTGATGGTCTAATTTCTTTGCCATTGATGTTTCATGTACCCTTTATCACCCTACATATATTCTCCTTTATCCAGATTGTTCCTTTCTTCTGAAGACCTCATCAGCTTCAGAGGGTGGTTCCTCCTTTTCTTCTATTCCCCTTCCTTTCATTTCCCATTTTTACTCTCTACCGGATCTAGATAGACTTCTGCGCATAGTCAGGGCTCTTCGTTGTTATTTGTTATATTGCTCGTACTGCTTCCTTCAGGGGTACACATTCCTGACTCTTTATCACCTGGCAATTCTCCTCCCTTTGTAATCTTTCACCTACTACCCTTACCAATTGGGTCTATCTTTTGATTTGATTGGCCTGTTCCTACCTACCTTCCATCTCCTGGAATTTGTTCCAAGTGTCCTTCCATCAGATCTGACACCTCACTTTTTCCCTTGCTTCTCATCTTCATCGTCCAATGTAGAGCTTCTGCAGTTCAGCATGTGGAGGACACCCAGTATGTCCCACTATCTCCATCATATCGCAGTTTCCTCTTTGTCAGGGTTTCTTCTACCACCTGTGGCCATTCTTCAGACTTCATTGCAACTTTAAACCTATCGCTCTGGTTATCCTTTACTGTGCATGATACAAGGTTTTAGTGTCTTACATTCAAAATTTTATTATACTACTTTTTGTTTATGTTATACCAATTAGAATAGCAGAAAATATCAGCTAATAATCCATATTTTAATGGTATATAAGTTTTAAGCTCTTAATTCTGTAAGGCAATATTTAAAAAATCCTGAATTTCCAATAGTGTGACCCATGTGACACATTTTGTTTTACCATGTCATCATCCCTATTTTATCCATCACCCCTCGAAAAAGTACGAAATTAAATGTAAATTACTCTCTTAGAATGGCTATTGCTCAGACAAACCATGATTTTTATAGTATTCAATTTTGGTTGGTTACAGAACTATCAAATAGAAAATCAGACCCCTCCTGCCACACCCACCTATCACATCCTCTATTTCAGTCCAGATTTTCATCTATCAAATGACATATTGTAAAATTTTGTATTCTGAACAAGAAAGCGTAAATTTTAACTTCACAGTACAAGCTTTG